GGCAAAGCAGTCCGGGTTTGGAGTGCCCGGACTACCCACACTGGGCACATCACAACACTCGGCCATCAGCCTGGCTGCACTTGCAGCAGGCTGCCATCTGGGGAGAGGGGGCAATTGGGGGGCTGCAGGAGAGCTTCCACCCCCAGAAGCCCGCAGAGCCAGCCCAGTCCTCCCCATCGGGGGCTCGTGCCCCATTCCTCCCTCACCTCCTTCCACTTACCCTTCCCTAGCCCCTTTTCTTGATGTACAAAATAAAGGACAATTGTGTTAAAAAATGGAATCTGTCTTTATTGAACAAAACTGGGGGAGACTGGGAAAAGGAGGTGGGAGAGGGGAAGAGAGAGAGGGTGGGAGAGGGGAGGGCAACTAAAATGATCAGGGGTTGGGAAAAGGTCCCATATGAAGAGAGGCTAAAGAAACTGGGACTTTTCAGCTTAGAAAAGAGGAGATGGAGGATAGAGGTCTCCAAAAGCAGGAGTTGGGTGGAGAGGGTACATACAGAAAAGTTCTTCATTAGTTCCCATAAAGAAGGATTAGAGGACACCAAAGGAAAGGAATGGGTAGCAGGCTTCAAACTAGTAACAGAAAGTGTAGACAGCTCCAATTTGTTTTCAGAAAAAAAGCCCCGATGGCGAAAATGGCGATTGGGGCTTTTTTGCGGAAAAGCGCATCTAGATTGGCACGGACGCTTTTCTGCAAAAAGTGCTTTTGCGGAAAAGCGTCCTGCCAATCTAGACGCGCTTTTCCGCAAATGCTTTTAACAGAAAATTTTTCCGTTAAAAGCAGTTGCGTAAAATCCTGCCAGTCTAGACGCAGCCCCAGTGTCCCAGTCCTCTCCCCCTGCTCTCCAGGAGATGGCAGCAGAGAACAAGGGGATATTTAAACGAGGTGCCACGTTGCTCATTTAGCTCCTCTGCTCTCCCGTCCTGGGTCCTCACGGTTACCTCCCCATCTGGTCAGCTCCAGGGCTGGCACATTCCACCTGCCTCCGAGTCCCAGGGGGGGAGACGAGAGTGGGCTCAGCTGATTCTTGTGGCCCCAGTGCAGCAGCTTCACTTCTGGTGTCCAGACCTAACTGTCTCGATCCGCTCATCGATTTGTGATGCCTCTGCCTGGGCCAGGTATAACCGGGCAGGGGGTGTCCTCCCTCTGGAGCCCCCCTCAACTCTGGGCCTGGGAGCCCTCAGGCTCACATCACTGGACAGGCTTCAGCAAGGGAGCAGCCTTGGCTAAAGAGAGAAGTTCCCCCCATGAGTGCAGAGCTGGAACATTCCACTCCCCTTCAGTCATCTGG